TTATAGGGAGGTTAGCCTTCAGTTATGGTACCTAGTGTCCATTTCCCCTGTAGGCAATAGTATAACCCTAGGTTACTTAATCCTCATCAAGCTGTGTCTCTCAATGGACAATTGGGCAACATCACATTACAAAGGTTCAACATTACATTTTGTATGCTGGCTAACTTCATGTCCAATCAATTTCTTTGCAGCTTGTGTTTTCACCAGTTAAACACCATGGTATTAAGGCTTTGAAAATGACACCGTTTACTTCATAAAAATGAAACTCCAAGAAAAAAAAAAAAAAAAAAAAACACCCACACAAACATTTTGTTTAAGCCATTTATTGAACCATGATGCAGCATAAACAAGAGGCAGTAAAAGGATTAGACAGGTTGAAAAATGCTACAGCACAATCCAGTAATTTATAGGTCTCACATAGCCTGCATCAACAGAGTTTAGGGGGCACATCTGTACAGGAATGCCTTAACACATGGTAAAAGGTCAACCGTGGCCTTTCTAGATGTACCAAAAGGCTTGTTGCTTTTAACTCTTTGGGCCCCTGTCAGTGGCATCAGAATATGTTGCTTATAAAGATCATTTAAAATTTGCCAAAAGTGCAGATAACCTGCTTCAAGTAGGTTTTCCATTCCCATAGACTTGTATGCACATGCAAAACCCGATTAAAGCAAACAAAAGCCTTTCAACATGGGCCCATACAATAGTATGATAATGTGGGTAAAAAAAAACCAAATAAACCAAGCATTATAATCAAGTATGATGGCTATACTACAGTAGTCACCTCTAGTTTCTAAAACTAACAGCAGCTTAACAGGAAACTCAATATAGGACTAAATGTTGCCATTGCCAAATTGTTTTGCAAAAAAGGTGCCAAGGTTAATTGTCCTTTAGGCTGTGAATTCAAATGCAATAAAAAAAAGGGAAACTTTCTACAGAAGTACAGAGGGGAGGTTTTATGGCTGCAAACTTTTATGCATTATGGCCAACAAAAGGAGAGGCATCTTCTGATGTGTAGTAATAGACGAGACCTTTAATTTTTAAAATGTTAAAAATGGCTGAAAGGTTTACATTGGGAGCCACTGACACCAAAATATGCATTCTTGACCTATAAACTAGGCAAAACTAGGCACTTCCAAGTCCCTGGACACTGCATGAACAAATAGTTGACTGAAGTTGAATTTAACATGTTTGTCCAATCTAGATTTCTCACTGTCCAGCATTGTTTAACCTTTCAGTGCCACATTACATTAGAACCAATATTCCCTTTTGCAGGGCCAAGTGAAATATGGGCTGAAGAACAGGGTGCCAAAAAGATGACAATACAGCCTAGTTCTTGCCAGACCAGGTAGGGAGATGATAAAACTGCATGTGAAGACTATATACCTTTATATATCATAGTATGATATTTATGTGTGCGCTGAGATTTTACTTGTAGCTTTAGTGTAAAAAGCTCTACAAGTGTTCAGTGGCAGCATCTATATTTATCCTGACAATCTCCCTTCAACTACATTTAAACACATCTAAAAAGACATGGACCAATGTAGGTACTGCAGTTTTCTCCATCAGTTATAAACATGAAAGCCTTCTGTTGCAAAAAGCTACAAACAAAAAGGTCATTAAAAAAAAAAAAAAAAAAAAAAAGGCATAGATATCAGGAAAAATATTAGGCAAAAATCACTAGTTTTCATACAATCTATACCTGGAGAATGTAAAGTTTAAAGAATACAATGTGATTGGAGGGTTGTAAATAGCTGACAATAAAGAGTAAGTGCTTGTACACAGGAAAATTTCCTATAAAAGGTTTAAGTGCTTGCATGATTTGTAACTATACTAGATCTACAGATTTCATGCTGCTTTACAAGGACAACCCTAGTTTCAACTGGCTGTCCTGGAAGGTACACCCAAGGAATCACAAATCCACATTAAATGTAAAGAGGTTCAACATTAAAATACAGCAGCAATGACCCTCAATGGTTGAGAATCTTACAAAACAGCTTTCAAACTGAATGGCATGAGAGACTCAGAATCTTTACTGTCTAGGAGTAGGCACACTTGTTACAAAGCAAGGTCCAGATGCATCAGTAAATGCTCATGGATCTGGGTCATGTATGCCTAATGTCCTCAGATGCTTTTTAAAAAGATATTATAGAGTGCTCCAGTGGACACTTTGATGTTTGGTATGCAAATGTTTAGTTGCAGACTACTGACCATCTAGAAAAAAAGTGTTCACTCACTGTCCAAGAAAAGCAAAAATTGCACAAATCAGATGTAAGACCATAGTATATGCCCTAGCGGCTTCAAACACTAATTATTTTGTTGCTCTATGCAACTTTGAAAGCTGAGGGTTTTGTAAGACCGCTACAACAAGCTGCATTTATGGAACAAACTGTCTAATGGAGAACCTCTAAACTCCCATTGCAGTATTGATAAAGGATTTAATAAGAGTAATTCAGGGCTGACAAAGCTGAGAAAAAAAAAAAAAAAAAAAAACACTAAAAAGAAAACATTAAGCATTTATCCTAAAAAATCAATTATGGGAAACACTGTTCCCGATAATTAACTACACCTGTAGTGTAACATATGAGGGAACACTGCCCCCGATATAATACAGTGGTAGGCAAAAACTACCAAATGTTTCACAATCCATTATGGAAGACACTGCTCCCGATAATGTCAACTATTTAATGATATAGTATAAAATTTACTGGAAATTCTGCTTTAAGGCATATAAAGCCTGTCACATAATATAGCTTTTAATCCAACAAACTCTGTACCAGCACTTTACAAGATACAGTAGGCCAGCTGTGCAGTCACAGCAAGCTGTGCTTTGTAATTCAAAGACCAATGTACAAATCAGTAGTACTTATGTATCCTATCACCCTTCATCAACTGTGCAAGATATAACTCCGCTATGTTGAAAGGCAGACAAGTGTGTATGCACTTTAATTTTGATACACCATCTATTGTGAATAAACGTGCAATCTATTCTCTGTAGCTCAGACTATTGAAGTTGGTTGCACCCATTGTGTGGACAGCAGAAGTTCCAGTAGCACGTTCAAGTTAAGCAGATGCTGCTCTTAATTTTCAGAAGTAAAAAAAATCCGACAGTATAACCGTCAATTATGGAAGGCACTGCTTCCGATAATTACAATAACAAAATTAATACTATTTATAGTGATCTCTGTCACTCATAAATAAATAAGTGTGCCATTATTCAGTGCGAAAGGAATCCTGCTAGCTTTCATCCAATCAACATTAAACAAGTGATCCTGCACTGCAGGACTGGGCAATATTGATATCAAAACCATTTCTATTCCAGGTAGCAGGTGGGTAGAATAAACTCTTGTGAAGTAATGACTCAATTGTACTAATCTGTGAAAACACTGGTCCTTTACAGAGACAGGGTTTTCCCTTCACTAGCAGCTACTAAAATGTTCACAACAAACACAAATGGATGGTATTCTGTTACAAAGAAAAAACAAAACAAAAAAAAAAAAAGTACATATTACTGCATTATTCCTGAGTGGAAAACTAAAATGTTACATTTTGGCATATGAAGCATGGCAGCTAATGTATTGCCAAACATAACCCATTTGGTGCAGAAAAAGCTTGACATATGGCTTTTTCATAAAAAACACAAAGAATGAGGGGGGCAATATATTAGTTTTGCAGCAAGAAACCCAGAGAAAAGTGAAGCAGTTGCTGAAAACAAATCTGCTTCTTAGTCTTATTTTCTGATTAATACAAGACAAAATGGATTGGTGACTATGGACAAGACATCCTTATTCCAGTTTGCATATATCTGCTTCACTGTGTGATTGTATATGGTGCTTTCATTTTATTTATACTGATCGAACAGATCCGTTTACTCACTTGGTCAGACTACTATGCTTGATTGCTTTCCACTTCTGAGTTGAACTATATGAACATTTGACCAAGAATTATCCCATACCCCCTTCCCAGTCTACAAGGCTGCATACTGAGTCACTAAAAACTAGACGTGTCCTATTTACACAAGCTCCATATGAAATACAGTAGGGCAAAGGCCTCACTTAGCAGCTCATATTTACTAAAGACTCCTGCTTACAAAACAATAACCAAGTAATGTATAGTCAGCTGAAGGTAGGTTGTGCAAGGCCTTTGCCATTTTGTGCAAAATTCAAAAAGGAACATTGCATCTGCAGCACATTCTTTAAACAGATATTGGGTCAAGTAAAACAGTTTTGGTGGTGAATAGCAAGCTAGAAGTTACCAAATGATTGCTATAATCTGCCTTAAAAAAAAAAAAAAAAAAAAACACACAACATTCCACGCTGGGATGTTCGCTTTCTCAGCAAATCAGACCTGTTCTAGCAGCATATTTTCACAAAACAATGAAGAAAGACTATGCAAACCACCCAATGTAATAGAAAAGTAAACCACCTGGCAGGGGTCAATTGCCACAATGGCTAATGACCATTTTTTTCCTCATAGTACAAGGTTTCCAGAAATAAGGCGAGAAGTATCAATTGGTTAAAGGGCCTGCCAAGAGGTAAATCAAAAGCTGGGCACAGCCACTTGTGGAAAGATATAACAGTTAAGTGCTTAAAATTTAAAACAATCCTATGGGCATGAAACACATATGAGGCTGCCACTTACACAAGACTGTACATCTACTGTGCTTTAGTGTAGAGTATACGCAAGGCCCAAACTAGGGGTACATAGCTATTCAAATGAGCAGCTCCCGTTAAGGCTCTGGCCCAACCTCTTCACACTTTACTATTGGCAAATCTCACTGAATCAACACTGTGGCGATGGGATCGGATGAGATGGGATGGGGTGAGCAGAGAAGGGATGGGCCAGAGTCCATAACCACAGGCACTGGCTTCTATTTGTCTATAGCACAACCCAAAAGGTAGGGCTCTCCAGGAAACAGATGTGAGGTGCCTACTATACAATGCAAGTAGAAGTCTCATATGTTTGTTACGCCCATAAATAACTTAACGTTTACATAATACATCTTAGAACCCATTATGTATCTCCCAAATCTCTCCAGCAAGTGCATTTGCAGCCCCCTGGACAGTCCAAGTCAAGAGAGCCAACTGGTTTTTAAAGACATCTTTGTCAAACAGGGTTTCATTCCTTAGCAGACTTAGGTGTTTGTTTAGGGCTTCAACCGTGTGATTACCATAGCCATACAGTATATGCCGAAATGGACTGTCTTTTGGGGAGACGTAGGGAGACAGCAGGGAGTGCTCAACCTGCAGACAGAAAAAAAAAGGAATATTTACATTTAAGTTTCTATTTGAGTCAAAGTACAAACAATTCCACTGGTCATTACTACCAAAGTAATCCTGTTACGATAAACTTCCATTGCCGACATCCTCTGAGAACGTCAGTTGCCCGGCTGTAATACTGATTCTTTGTCCTCCGCTATCTTAAGATTACAAATTATGACTCAGCTGCATACTTGTTCTTGGATGGTCTCAGAAGCACAGAGCCAGAGAGAAGGCAAAATATTTATTAGAATGCCAGAAATCACAGCCACCACTTTCTCCCATAGGCATTATCTTCCAGACCATAACCACATTGTAATACACATTAAAGATGATCTCCAGATTTTCATGACCTTTAAAAAAGTAGTTGAAAAGGCTATTTTTTTTTTTTTTTTTAAACTAAACGTGGTGTGGAAAACTGTAAACCAGAAATGTACTATATAGCAGTTCAATCAAATGGTGGTTGCATTATTTTTCAGGCTTTTTCCCCTGCTCTGTTTTCACCTGGAGATACGGCCAGTAAAACATCCTGTATTAGAGTGCCCTCACTCTGAAAGAAGGAGCACAATTGTGCACAGCAGACAGCAATATTGTCAGTCTGGGGGGAGGGGAGTGTAAGTTGCACTAGCAGAGTTAACGCACACAAAGGCCATTAGCAAAACACTTTTTTTTTTTTAATAACACACACATCTACCTTCATAACGCGGTCATTAAGAGAGCGGAGGAAAGGCTTGTTTCAGGATCCGATGCATCAAAGTTACTCTTTAGAGTGGTAGCTGCTCTTCCAAAGTCACCTGAAGCAGAGTTTATCCAATCTAAGGACAGACCCAATCCCTGCAAGGTTAAAAATAAATAATCAAAAGCATGTATGCAACATAAGGACTTCCCCAAGTACCCACCTGTATGTGCAAAACGGGTACGCAAGAAACTACAGCATACCAATCATTACTATTGGTGGATGTACAGTGTAGCCATCTCTCCTAGATGTGGAAATACACTTACAATTTATGTCAATGACTGAAAGCATCTGTCTACACAAGGTACACATCTGCTTATATTTCACCTGGGAAGAGTGCATTCTCTTTCTATGCAATGCACACAGATTATGGCTGGTGGGAGGGGCTGCCAGAATGCTGTACATACAGTCAGGTCCATAAATATTGGGACATCGACACAATTCTAACATTTTTGGCTCTATACACCACCACAATGGATTTGAAATGAAACGAACAAGATGTGCTTTAACTGCAGACTGTCAGCTTTAATTTGAGGGTATTTACATCCAAATCAGGTGAACGGTGTAGGAATTACAACAGTTTGCATATGTGCCTCCCACTTGTTAAGGGACCAAAAGTAATGGGACAGAATAATAATCATAAATCAAACTTTCACTTTGCAATACTTGGTTGCAAATACTTTGCAGTCAATTACAGCCTGAAGTCTGGAACGCATAGACATCACCAGACGCTGGGTTTCATCCCTGGTGATGCTCTGCCTGGCCTCTACTGCAACTGTCTTCAGTTCCTGCTTGTTCTTGGGGCATTTTCCCTTCAGTTTTGTCTTCAGCAAGTGAAATGCATGCTCAATCGGATTCAGGTCAGGTGATTGACTTGGCCATTGCATAACATTCCACTTCTTTCCCTTAAAAAACTCTTTGGTTGCTTTTGCAGTATGCTTTGGGTCATTGTCCATCTGCACTGTGAAGCGGCGTCCAATGAGTTCTGAAGCATTTGGGCTGAATATGAGCAGATATTGCCCGAAACACTTCAGAATTCATCCTGCTGCTTTTGTCAGCAGTCACATCATCAATAAATACAAGAGAAGCAGTTCCATTGGCAGCCATACATGCCCACGCCATGACACTACCACCACCATGCTTCACTGATGAGGTGGTATGCTTAGGATCAGGAGCAGTTCCTTTCCTTCTCCATACTCTTCTCTTCCCATCACTCTGGTACAAGTTGATCTTTGTCTCATCTGTCCATAGGATGTTGTTCCAGAACTGTGAAGGCTTTTTTAGATGTCGTTTGGCAAACTCTAATCTGGCCTTCCTGTTTTTGAGGCTCACCAATGGTTTCCATCTTGTGGTGAACCCTCTGTATTCACTCTGGTGAAGTCTTCTCTTGATTGTTGACTTTGACACACATACACCTACCTCCTGGAGAGTGTTCTTGATCTGGCCAACTGTTGTGAAGGGTGTTTTCTTCACCAGGGAAAGAATTCTTCGGTCATCCACCACAGTTGTTTTCCGTGGTCTTCCGGGTCTTTTGGTGTTGCTGAGCTAACCGGTGCGTTCCTTCTAAGAATGTTCCAAACAGTTGTTTTGGCCACGCCTAATGTTTTTACTATCTCTCTGATGGGTTTGTTTTGTTTTTTCAGCCTAATGATGGCTTCCTTCACTGATGGTGACAGCTCTTTGGATCTCATCTTGAGAGTTGACAACAACAGATTCCAAATGCAAATAGCACACTTGAAATGAACTCTGGACCTTTTATCTGCTCATTGTAATTGGGATAATGAGGGAATAAAAACACACCGGGCCATGGAACAGCTGAGAAGCCAATTGTCCCATTACTTTTGGTCCCTTAACAAGTGGGAGGCACATATGCAAACTGTTGTAATTCCTACACCATTCACCTGATTTGGATGTAAATACCCTCAAATTAAAGCCGACAGTCTGCAGTTAAAGCACATCTTGTTTGTTTCATTTCAAATCCATTGTGGTGGTGTATAGAGCCAAAAATGTTAGAATTGTGTCGATGTCCCAATATTTATGGACCTGACTGTAGCTTCCTGAACCATCACAGCACCCTGCCCCAGTACTTCTCCCACTGTTTGAATCCGTCATGAGGGCACTTTAGAGGGGTTATGCAGATATCAAAATACCTTGAGTGGATATAGCTGGTGAACATTCCAAAGCACCTTCATTTGCATGCAGACCATCCTGATAAACTTGTGACACCTGAGCACGATTGAAAAGTTAAATCCAGTGAAAGGGGCAGATTAGATGCCCTCCAGCCAGGAAACAAGGCAGATTGCCATTTGCTGCAGCTGCTAATGCACATCACGAGAAGCTCAGTGTACAATGAAATCAAGCAATTTTGGTAAAGAAAATGGGCACATACAACTGAAGGTTAAATTGGTGTTCAGCTTTAAAATTTGGTAAAATAAAAAAAAAAATGCACTGTCATTTTCTCTATGCAACAGATAAACAATTTATGCAGCCTAGTGGGAGAAGCTTTACCAGCATACACGTCTGAATGGGGACCAAGGAGTCACTATGTCTTCCACCACAAAGGACCTGGACACAAACCTGTCCAGCCAGCTTCATGTTGAATCTAGAGGAAGTGTCCACATCCAGTGTTCCCATTTCTGACAGACAATCAAGAAATATATGTCATCAGCACACCAGGGAATGCCATAAAAAGGGTCCAACATACTATTGAACTATCACAAATAGTAAAAAGATAGCAATGTTTGGGAGCCATGCAGGACCTCATCAGGCATGTGACGTCTTTCTGAAGAGGTACTGCATGGCTCAGAAATGTCACTATCCTTTGCTGTGATCATTCAATAAAAAAAAAAAAAAAAAATGGTAGAGCAAGGAATAGGTCGCCAGCACACCAGAAAACGCCATAAAAAAAGATCCGAGTTGTTCCGGTTTCCTGCCAAAGGTCGCTACAGAACCCCCTTACTCTGCAACCGCTCTCACGAATGTGTGTATTGGCAATAGTGCTCAGGGACCGATTTCTGACAAGACCTCTCCTTTGAGACCAAGTGTTGCCAACCCAAAAAGTCAGCTTGCCAATTTTCCATTCCTGGTATGTGGATAGTGGAGTGTTAAAATATGGTCCTCCACCCAAGAGAGAATAAGGTTTCCTTCTTTCAAGGCTTCCGGTACCCCCTTGATGGTGTAAGCCACAGCCATGGCGCTGTCCAACTACACCCTTGCTGGGTGACTGTGCAGGAGAGGGGTCAAGTCAGTCTTGCTGCTTTCAGTTCCAGAATGCTGATGGGGAGCATCCACAGTAGGGATCTGCTAGTCCCTTATTGCAAGAATGTTGAACTGCAAAGCTCTTAAATGGAACAGAATAAAGGAAACCGTCTCCAAGGAGGTCCGCATGAGGGTTCTGAGCCTCATGGTGAAGAGTAGAGGGATATCTGGTTGACAGAGTCCAAAAGCTGGATCTCCGAAACAATTTTTTTCATGGAAGGAAGGAAAATCTTAGCGTGGGCTGTGTCCTGAGCTGAGATCAGCCACAAGTACTCCAGGAAGTGGGAAGGCCAAAGGGCAAACTTGCTGAAGTTGATCAAAAAAGTTTTCAGACTTTTGTATAGCTGAAGGATAATTTTTGTATGTTAAGACAGGACCTTGGCTGAGGAATCTATTGGCAAAGGGTCAGCCAGATATCCCCATGACCTGGATGCTTCAGGATCTGGGCAGTGCTAGGACTGGAACTAGCACTCTTTGAAGAGGAGAGAGGAGACATGGCAGAACAACAGACTGAAAGTGTCGGTCTCCCACAGCAAAGCGTAGGCAATGTTGGCATGCAGGAAAGAGGAGAATCTAGACATCTTTGCAACCTGACCACACCAGGGCAAAAAGCACAAGCATCACAGAACGGTCAGTTTTCTTTCTTGTATTCTACCTGGGAACACAGCCTACCTTTACTTCAGAGGTCAGACCCCCTTCATAGCGCTTTGTTGGGAAGAATCATGTACTGCCTCCTCCTGACAACCTCATACCCAGCTCCTATGTGTATGTACAATGCGAGTTAGGGACCTCAGACTGAGCTCAAGGGCTAGCACTGATGTGAACGTACAATTATACAAAAAAAAAAAAAATTTCAAAAAAGGGAACACCTTTTAAATCAAGAGTATCGCATCAAGTCAATTAAACTCTTGGGATATTGATCTGGTCAGTTACGTAACAGAGGGGGCTGTTAATTTCATTAACACCAAAAAGCTGAAACTGATTAACAGGTGCACTAGATGGGCAACATGAGACAACCCCCAAAACAGAAATGGTTTACAGGTGGAGGCCAATGACATTTTTTCTCCTCAGACTGTCCAGGAGCCCATTCATGCCCTGGTCCAGATCTGAAGGGGAAATACCCCAGGAATCCATCAATCATCTCATTATGAGCATGCCCCAACGTTGTCAGGCATGCATACAAGCACGTGGGGAAATGCAAAAAACTATAGAGTAACATTTTGAGATGCTGCAATTAAATTTTAGCAAAAATGGACTAGCCTGCTGCATCATTTTTTCACTTTGATTTTCGGTGCTTCTTTGAATTCAGTCTTCTGATGGAAATTAAAATTATCAATCTACAATGGGGCATCCTTACGTTCACACTCCATATCAGTATAGATATCCAGCATGATATTTTCCCCATTGAGATCTGATGCGTTTTCAAAGTGTTCCTTTAAATGTTTTGAGACACACACACACACACACACACACACACACACACACACACACACGAATATACATTTCTAAAAGGTGCTATTGATATGAAAATGGTCACCACGTCAGTAACAACCCATGCAATCCATACATAAAAAGAAACTCAAACAAATAAGTTCAGAAATTAAGTTATGTGTAATAAAAAGGAATGACACAGGAAAAAAAAAAATAGAACACATGAAGGGAGGTGCAAAAAAGGCATGGAAAGCAGCTGAAATCGATCAAATATCAGCTGCTTTGGTCAACTGATGACCTATAAAAAAAAAAAAAAAAAAAAAAAAAAAAAAAAAAAAGTCTCATTACCAAGGTGTCACACGAAAATCATAGTCTGATGGGTAAAAGCAAAGAGCTCACAAAATCTTTTCATGTGACGACACTGAAGAAATTACACTTCGCTACACTGTAAAGTAGTCCATTATCCTGTGAAACCCTGGTGAACTCCATGCCCAAGGGGGTTAAGGCAGTGCTGGAAAATAATGGCACTTTGGGCCTAATGTGGACATTTTCACATAGGGGTGTACTCACTTTTGCTGCCAGCGGTTTAGACATTAATGGCTGTATGTTGAGTTATTTTGAGGCGACAGCAAATTTACACTGTTATACAAGCTGTACACTCACTACTCTACATTGTAGCAAAGTGTCATTTCTTCAGTGTTGTCACATGAAAAGATAAAAAAATATTAAATGTGAGGGTTTGTGACCACCCTTTGCCTTCAAAACAGAAGTCTACTAGGTACACTTGCACACAGTATAATAAAAAAGGAACTCAGCAGGTACATCCTTCGAGAACTAACCACAGATCATCTGTGGATGTAGGCGGTCTCATGTAATCCCAGACAGACTCAATGGATGTGGAGATCAGGGCTCTGTGGGAGCCAAACCATCACTTCCAGGACCCCTTGTTCTTTACATTGATCCCAACGATGGAGCCAATATCATTAACAACCATCTTCATTGTCCTGCTGCAAAATAAAATTTGGGGCCAAATCACATGCCTACCAGATGGTATGGCATAATGGATAAGTAAGTATCTGCCTGTATTTATCAGAATTGAGGACACCAATAATTACCAAATCTCCAACTCCATGTGCAGAAACACAGGCCCAAACTTGCAAGAAATCTCCACCAATGTTTCACTGCTGCCTGCAGACACTTGATAATTGTACCGCTCTCCAGCCCTTCCTTAATAAAACAGTCTTTTGCTACAGCCAAATATTTCAAAATTTGACACATTAGGCCAAGGCACCAGCTGCCATTTTCTGTACCCCAGTTCCTTTGTTTACCTGCATAGTTGAGGTACTTAACCTTGTTTCCATGTCCTAAGCAGGAAGCCATAGTAACTGGGGTGTAGAAAAATGGCAGGTGCTCTGGACCGAGTCAAAATTTCAAATATCTGGCTAAAACAAAAAGGCTATTTGATCATGAAGGGCTGGAAAGCAGTACAATAATAAATGTCTGCAGGCAACACTGAAGCATGGTGGAAGGTTCCTTGCAAGTTTGAAGCTGCATTTCTGCAAAACAGAGTTGGAGACTTGGTCAGGATAAATAGTGTCCTTAATGTCCTTAATGTTGCAAAACACAGGCAGATACTTATCCATCAGGGAGGCGTGTGATTGGCTGCAAATATATTCCACATCAGAACAACCACCACAAACATACAGCCATGGTCATTAACACTTCCTCGTCAAACTATAGCAGAAATACTGCTGCAGGGTGGCACGGGTGCGCAAAATCACGTATATACACAGCCTTGGCTGTTAATCACCAGGTCCCGGCCAGCGATTCCCCGCTGGCGCCTGGCGATCTTTAAGTATTATCGACGGGGGAAAGACCTGTGCATAAATACAGATCTCTCCCCTGCCAGCTCCTGCACACTGCTTTGTATGGCTCTGTATAGCAGAGCCATACAAAGCAGTGTGCTTACAGCGTGAAGCATAGAGAGTACAGTTAACCCTTTGATCACCCCACAGGTTAACCCCTTCCAGCCCAGTGTCGTTAGTACAGTGTCAATGCTTTTTATTAGCACTGATCTCTGTATTGGTGTCACTGGGGATGTCAGTTCCCCCCAGTGTCAGAATGCATGCTGCAGTCCCGCAATAAGTCGCTGATCGCTGCCATTACTAGTAACAAAAGAAAATTTCAGTATATATACACACACTGCCATTTGTAAACGCTAAAAAAATAAACCAAAATTAATTTACACAAATTGGGACTTTTTTTTAGCAAAGACATGTAGCAGAATACATCTTGGCCTAAATTTGATTTTTTTAAATGACGTGTAATAACAGTTTTTTTTCTCAAAAATTTCTCAAATTGTTTATAGCGGGGGGAAAAAAAAAACAAAAAAAAAAAAAAACAAAAAAAAAAAAAAAAAAAAAAAAAACACACCCATACAGGCGATCAAATACCACAGAAAAAGCAATGGGGGGGGGGGGGGGGAGAGAGAGAGAATAGGATGTACATTTCATTTGGGCGCAGCACCGTATCACAGAAAAAAAAAAAAAAAAAAAAAAATGGCCAGGTCAGGAAAGGGGGTAAATAGGGCAAGTGGTTAAGAATATTCAGTGTAAGAACAAAAGTCCTAAAAGTTCCCACAGAGCCCTCATCAATATAATGTCTGTCTGGGATTACATGGAGACTGAAAAATTTGAGGCAGCCTACATCCACAGAAGATCTGTGGTTAGTTTGCCAAGATGTTTGGACCAACATACCAGCCAAGTTCCTTCAAAAACCTAGAAGAATTGAAGGCATTTTGAAGGCAACGTGTGGTCACATCAAATATTGATTTTGACCTCTTTACTTCCCATTTTGTGAATTGATAAAAAACACTTCTATTTCTGAAAGCCATTTTAAATTTACAGCATTTTTTCCCACATATCCCTAATACTTCGCAAAAAAAAAAAAAAAAAAAAAAAAAAAGAAAAATCTGCCACACAGTTTCCCTGTTCATGTTTAATTCTGCCATCATCATCACGCACTCAGTCCTTTGAACTTCATCGTGGACATTTTCCCGCCCCTCCTTAAACCACCTCTGCCATTCAAAAACGCTTGATTTCTTCATGGAATGTTCACCCTATGCCTTTTGTCACAGGTCTAAAGTTTCACTCATACTTTGGCCATTTTGCTAATAAAATGTGATGGTAATCCACTGCTTCAGATTCTAGTCACTCATTTACCAGCAACAGTGCAACGCACACAAGAGTTATTTTTTCTAGTACTCCGTAAAGACTGTCAACTCAATTGGTGGGCAACCCAGGCAAGTTTAAGTTGGAACACGCTAGAGTACTAATGGCTGTGTGACTCCCCACCACAGTGCTACACCACAGGCATTCCAGAAATTAAAAATGGTCACAGCTCCATGTACAGTAGAATGAGGACCTACATAGTACTACTACATAGTTGGTAGATCTAAAAAAGATTTTACGGATTGTGATGTGTTGAGCTTAAATCTGAAAATTTACTGATCATGCAGCAACACACAGTTGCACATATTTTGGAGAGCCAGTAGTGTAGGACTCTGGGCTGCTAAACATTGAGGCAGGTGACCATTGATTGAACCTTTTAAAAAAAAAAAAAAAAAAAAAGAAAGCCTATGGTTCTACTTTAATAATTTTGGATCAAGAAAAGGGAGGGTTATGACCTGCAGATTTTTTTTGGCATCGGATTTTCCTTCACTTCCTGTTCCTACCAAACAGGAAGTGAGAGGAAATCCATGCAAAGCAAGGGAAATTCCTTGGGGACCCCCAGGTCTCCAGAACTAGTGTCCCCACTGGAAAATGTCCATTTACTTGTTCTGGGGACAACACAAAATCTGGGTTTTTGTTTTAATTTCAGTGATGGTAAACCAGACAAAAAGAGGGAGAATCGCATCAACAGGGGCACAAACAGCAATAAAAAACCTGACAGGTGATGTAATCCATCTCCACTCTATCAAAAACTAGAAAGTAAAAAAATAAAACATGTTGCCTTTAATTACACTGTGGTATTTACAACCAAAATACAACATATTCAATAAAACAAAACACACAACAATTACAAGAAAAAAAACATAGATATGGAGTTTCTTACATTTATATCGGCTCTTTTATCTTTTAGATTGATGGAAATTCTAAGCAAATCCTCTTTGTATTTAACGAAGTCCAGCGGCAGCTTGTGGTCATGTGTCAGGCGCAGAATAATTTGGGTGGCAAGATTTGCAACAGCTCTGCACATACTATCAACATTAACCAGCTTTTGAAAATTCTCAAAAGTATCTTTTTGGGTTCCAAGATAAGCATAAGGCTTGTTATCCTAAAGAAAAAACAAAACAAAACAAAAAAAAAAAAAAACACAATCAAAAACATTACCACCAGAGAACCAAATGGGACTGTCGGACTGCTAAAATACTTATTAGGAGGTCATTGAGGGAAAAAAGGAAATCTCTTTGGGTTATACAGCTGCTTACAAAGACAATGGAGCACACAGCATAACCCCTCCTACCACAAGCATGCCTTAGTTTTTGCAGTAAAACTGCAGCTCAGACGCAACTCAGAGGTGATGGCTACAAGGAATTCCATGTTATGGGTGCCAAATTGAAATGTCGAACAGGTTCAAAACGGCAGATTCTGAAGCAGAGGGAACCAGATGCAGATCTGTCACAAGGTAACAAAAAAAGGAGACACTACATGGGAGATTTACTGTACCAAAAAAAGTCTTAAAGGGATAGTTCACCTTTACCAAAAAGCTGTTTATGTAGATAAGGGGTGTCTGTAGATAAAGAACTGTGCAGCTCCGACTAAAGTTGAATATCGTCCTTGCTATAGGTGTAGGCCATTTACATCTCTCATGAAGCCTGACTGGAAATCTCCCAGGGCATTGCTAGGTGAAGCCTAGTTATTACTGTTCACCTTCACAGGAGTGAGCTCTCAGATGCTGAACTCAGATACTGCATCAGGGGAGAGAGAGCAAGGGGATTTGAGTCATAGAAAGAGCCCACTCCAATGGTGGGGGTGAACAGTAATGACCAGGCCTTACTTAGCAATGTCCTGGGAGTATTCCAGTCAGGCTTCAAGGAGGTACATAAATTGCCTACCTACACCTATAGCAGAGACACAGTTTGTTATCCAGACACCCCTTATCTGCATAGGCAGGCCTCTGGTAAAGGTGAACACTTTAAGGATTGAGAGGGCATTGGCATAATAGATGGCAAGGGCAGAAATCAGTATTCATCCCATGGAGAAACTTGGGGTGGAAGCTCCAGGATTTTCACCAAGTATGCCCTCCATATCCAATCATAAAGCTTGCTGGAAGTAGATTGCCAATCTTTTAAAATCGTAGGAATCTGATCAGATTCCCCCATCTCTCAGAACCTGAGCTTCAAAATCCATGCTGTCAAGTCAGCAATCAAGCAGGATGGACAATATCTGGACAACCCGGAAAGGCCTATGTAGTGACTGCCAGGATTCTTAGTAGGCCAGCATGTCATCCTGAGCCAGCAATCAGCTGCCAATTGTCGACACCAGAGATGTACACAACAGACAAGGCTGGAATGTGAACTCCTGCCCAGAGCAGGACTATGGAAACAGTAAACATGTTGGGTGTGAAATGCTGGAAACAACTCTGCCACAGGAACTGGGGCAATGATCCCTCGGTCTGGAAGATCTGAGAGGGAGCACAAACTACCATTGTAGCCCTGGGATACTGCCTGCTGCACCTATTCATATGAGATGCAAGCTGTCCAAGAGTTTACAAAATGTTGACAAGCACCTCCCACTTTGGAAGGTGGAGCATACCTTCATGCAGAAAGCTGCTTATCTGAGGATTTGGCAGACTTTGATCCCCAGACCTTGCAGGACTGGGTTCTTAAAAGGGGGAGTAGTGGTAAAAAAAAAAAAAAAAAAAAAAACCACAAACACCACACAAGACAAAAAAAGCAGGATCTGCTGAGAGCCTGAGCAAGCTGCTCCTGCACCCTCCAAAGTCTAGCACTCCAGTGAGCACTGGGGGGAAGGGGGGCAGAACAGAGCTGGTGATTGACAGTCACAGACTCTCTGCTCACTGAAGACCAAGAACTGAGCGATCAGCAGTCTTTGATCGATTAGTTCTTGGTGTAGAGCCAGCAGGAGACAGCTGCAGGATTGAATCGATTCTAGCGAATCTTAAGGTGTTACTAAACCCAGGATCCTGCAACCACTATTATCTGGTCTCCCACAGTACACAACATGAAGTGCACCTATTTTAGTAAATATAAAGTGCTAAATACCCTCTCTCATCAGAAGCACATAGTCTTGTGACTTCTGTGTCCAGCACTAGCTAAAGCTTGTAGGAGATTTCTTTTTCTGCTCTAGGAGGATGCAAAACACCTGACCCCTGTCTGGACAGTGCAGATTGGCCCTGTGCTGATCACATGCACTCTCAAGAGAAAAAAAAAAAAAAAGCCTCTAGCAATACCCACAAAACTGAGCATTGCAAATGCCTACAGTTCAGTCTGTTTTCTCAGGAGATAAGAGGTGATCACCTGAAAAAGGGGAGGAACAGAAGAAAGGATCAAACTGCCTTTTTACACAATGCACAATTAACCCCTTAGGTCCCACAGTGAGTATAAGAAGCATGCTTTACTGCATATACAGACTGATTTTATTGTTGTGGGTTTAGTAACAAGCTAGAACTGCCCATAGGCAGTACTGGGTCCTTTTTACTGTCCAGTGGCATATTCCTGTAGGTAGCAATATAATGCTACAGTCCATTGACAGACTACCACTTTTATATTGAATACAAGAGAAAACGGTTTGCTGCAACAGCTTATAAAGTGTTGGAGCTTGGATTCAATTTGCCAGTGTATTTAAATCTTCCAGTATATCCAAACACTCCCCTCCCCCAGACTGACAATGCTGCTGTCCAAAGGTGCTCTATGCACCTTCATCCTAGAGTGGAGCCACTCTAATGCAGGAGGCATTACCGGCCAGATCAAAGTTAAAATGGGGAAAAAAAAAAAGCCTTAAAGAAAATTAATGCAGCCACATCTAATGATTGGAAGATGCAGTATATTACATTTGGTTTTGGGTTTAATACTGCTTTGAGTCATCTTACTTGAATACTAGGGAAAAACCTGAGGCATGCTGGCAGTAGAAAGGGGTTATCCTGGGCTGGCCTACAGGTTTTTTTTTGCCAGTGTCTAAACCCTCTAAGTGCAGTATAACCTGAAGGTATGTCCCTCGATGGGTATAATTTTTTTCCCCCTGATGATTTGCAGTCTTGAAACTTCTCCATTCTACTCTACCCAACCAGCATATGTTTTTGGGCTGCACTTTAACGCTAGAACTCCGGCAGAATGCCATTCCTTTACTCCAAGATGTACAGATATGCAAGAGTCCATACAGTGTTAAATCCTGCACCACATGTTAACACCAGAGTCAAAATGAATGGGCTGCATTACTGTAAAAGCACTTTATCGTGACGTGTAACTCAGCACATGCATTACTAAACCCTAAAGTGTGAATGTGGCCTAATAGACAACTTTGGCCAAAGATAACTTCTTCCTGAGTGCATAAGTTCACTGTATCATTGAAGTTGTGTCAAACAGTAAAAAAACTTATCTGAACAAGCATGAACCATGCCAGGCAACTGCAATACACTGCACAGGAGGAGTTGGTCTCTTGACAGAAGACATTTAAAGTCAAATATAGAAACTGGGTTCCTTTAAAAACGTTTGTTGGCTGTGGACTGGTGGGAAGATGATAATGCTATACAGGCACCACCAACTAAATGGTGCACACTTTGCACTGGGTGAAGTGCGGGATGTATGCTTGAGTTGGCAGAGGCAATCCTAGGACACATTGGAGTAGAACTCTCACAAGCCACCTTATGACACCAGTTTTACAATGTTTTCTAGTTAGGAGTTCCCACTGAACACACAGTAGTTCTCAAAAAGTCAAATTCAAGTAAAACTAATTCTTTTAATGTTACTATAACAGTAATTTAAGAAACCTGAAACAAAATCGTAAACTATCAAGAAAGAAGGTGGAGAGCATGTAATTTTTCTGTTACCTTAACAAAGCTGAAGGATAACGCAGGAACTCCAGAGTAGGCAAGAAAGGGGTAAGCTGAATCAGCCATTGATAGAGGCTGGCTATTAGAGGGGAAAAACAAAGTTGTTTAGTAGACACCCAAAAACAAAGTCTGACAAAAGCCACCCCAAATTACAGGATGCAGATTAGAATCTCAAGTACATTAAACAGAGAAGAAAAGAAAAAAAAAAAACCAAAACAAAAACACAAAAAAAAAAAAAAAACAAAAACACGCGAACAAATTAAGAAAAACCCCATGCAAAAATAATCCGATAACCCATCTGGGTTTCTTACATAAAGATCTTGGATTTTACTTTGTCAGAAAGTTTTGCATCATTGTTAGAAACCGGGTCAGACACCTAAAAGGAAACAACTCAGAATTACCAGCTGTGTGGTGCTAAACACTCACTTTGCCTCATTAAAGTTTCAGAAACAAAAAGCAACTAATATCCTTACTTACCTCCCTTAATGTTTTCTGGATCATAGTATACATAAGAGGGCTACCAGACACTTGAAGTGATCCAGCACCTAAGGGGAGGGAACCAAAAACCACCTTAGCTATGTGATAGTAACAAGAACCCACTTGAGTTAACCCCATCAACAGTCACCAATAACGCTCCTTTTAAAAGTCACTGCTGAAAACAAGCATTTTCTTAAAGTAATTAACTCACCCGTACTAAAATCAAAAAAGGGTCTGATGCCATAGTCTGCCCACTGCTCTGAGAATCCATCTGCTGGCCCCCATGGGACACACTAGTGAAATAGGGGCCAGGAGAAGGAACCAAGCATCAGACACATGAAAAGAAAATCTTTCAGCAAACATCAATGAAGCACAGTTAAGCAGGATAGGCACTGTGGCAGGCAAGTATTCTGCTTTGCAGGGATTGTGTTTGTGTTTTTTTCAACGCCATTTGTTACACCTCCACAGAAGAAAAAAAAAAGAAAAAGCTATTTGACAGTAACTGGATGGGGCCATGCAGCCTACACCTCTGTTTGCTGCTACATTAGAAAACAAAAAAACAACGTTCAGCACAGGAATATTGCTCCTCACTATACCATCTAAATTTTATCAACTGAGTTGCAAGTCACTTGTGTGTGCACTTCACTCAATATATTACACTGCCCACTCTATCCAAAGCTGTAGAGGTTCTCTGCAGCATTTACATCCCATAACCTGAACAGCAAGATAAGCTCATACCTTGAATAGCACCATCCAGGCTGATATAGGATATAGTTTTTAGATGCAGCGTTGAAAGGTACCCCTAAAAAAAAAAAAAAAAAAAAAAAAGGAAAGGATTAGGCTGTGGTGAACAGGTAAAATCAAAAGACACAGCCAGTCGGTGAACATGCTAACAACCCTGCCCCCTATTATCTGCTCAATGGAGGCACCAACTGCAGTCAAAGGTCACCATAAACAAATGTCCACACCATCTTCCATTGTCAGCATACAAGGAAGAGACGGAAGCACACATTGAAAGCTGCTCAATTACAAATGTGACATACCCTCCTGAACTACAACCTCTAATGCATTTCAGCCCTCACGGGCTAAATCTGAGACGAGGGTGGAGATGTGTCCCATTATTTTATGCATCATTAGCCCAGCTAAATCAATTTAAGCTGGGGGGGGGGGGGGACAATAAAAAAAAAAAAAAAAAAAAACCACCACGAACCAAGACAAAAGGATTTTTTCATCACTTCATGTATGGCATCATACTAGCACCTACAAGGCTATTAATATGAATCTTGGATACAAGAAGACCAAAAATGTAATTTCTGATGAAGTTTTACAGAGAAAATATAAAAAGCTGCCAGCTGAATCAATAAACAAAATTTAAAAAAAAGGAAGGCAAAAACAAAAATATTACACATACAGCATCCTATACCCAGCACTCAGCGTGTGCTTCCATCCCTTCCTTGTATGCTTCTAAGTATCAGCGCAACATTCAGTGAGTATCCTCCATCGGTGCATTTGTTAAAGGCTGGTAAACAACTTAAAACTTTATGAAAGTTAGAGATCGAGATACCAAAGAAGTGGACCTTAGACATTTTGTGGCCTGACGGCTTATTTGTTATGTTCATATGGCCTACTTGGAAAAAAATACATTTATTTTTTTTTTTACTTGGACCTAAATAAAGCAAAGTCCTCAGTTATTAGCCTTACCTCTAGCCACTCGGTGGCACCAACTGCTCCAAAATCACCAGCACTCCAGCTTGCAAACACAATGCTCCGCCTAGGTTTATACTTATCTAGGAAGGGAAATAGGAAAAGATAAATAAAAAAATTACACAATGCATGTTTTTTTTCAGCATGAGCAAGAAAAATTCTCCTAAAATTTTGAAATGTACATTTTCTTAATCATCTTTGAGAGCACAGGCAGAAAAACAAACCCCCAAACACAGGAGGATTGGTGCTTTACCTCTCTGGCAGCTGTCCGTTCCTGACTGTGGTAGGGGGCACTTTGGTGTCATATTTAGTGAATCACACAGGTGCCATTTTCAAACTTTGACTGCAAAATGAGCAAAACACTGACCAAGCAGTGGGGAAAGCAAACTGAACTCTAGGATGCGTCACTAGAGACCCCAACAGCAGGAAGGTCTCAATTCCCCAATATAGATCTTTAGTGAGACCTCACTTACAAAAGGATATGAGATAAAATGAGACTGGTAACAAAAATGGTGAAAGGCCCAGGAGATCAATCCTATCAAGAGCTGTGATGAAAACGCAGCACCTGACCCCTGCCCTTCTCACCAATGACAAAGGAATGGCCAACCTCACACCACGCTGTCACTTGCACAACAATGCCACTTTCTGCTGCACCCTGCACAGGTTTTCCAGCTTGCGGGACCACAATCTAGGTGCCAGCAGACTAAGAGCAATTGTTGTTGGGTTAAGTTTCCTACGCAACTAACCCTTTAAAGTGGTTGTAAAGGCTCAAGGTGTCTTTTTTTTTTTAGGTAACAAAAAAAACCTTGTGTGTAGCAGCCCCCCTAACCCTTACCTCAGCCCCATCCCGATCCATAGATGACCACAAGAGCCTTGGTTCTCTGGGGACTCACTCCTGATTGGCTCACTGGCTGTGTGCCAGCAGAGGGAGCCAATGGCTCCTGCTGCTACCTCAGCCAATCAAGAGGGAGGGGTGGGGTCAAGATATGGCTCTGTGTGCGAATGGACATGAAGAGCTGCAGGTCGGGAGAGTGCCTGCTCGGGTGCCCCATAGCAAGCCGCTGGTTTTTAGGGGCACCCGAAAGGAGGGAGGGGCCAGGAAGGGAACCCAAGAAGAGTAGGATCTGGACTGCTGTGTCCAAAACCACTGCACAGAGCAGGCTAGTGTGACATGTTTGGAGTTTACAGTGATACTAAAGTCTTTTTTTTTTTTTTTTTTTAAATAAGACTTTAGTATCACTGTAAACTCCAAACATGTCACACTAGCCTGCTCTGTGCAGTGGTTTTGGACACAGCAGTCCAGATCCTACTCTTCTTGGGTTCCCTTCCTGGCCCCTCCCTCCTTTCGGGTGCCCCTAAAAACCAGCGGCTTGCTATGGGGCACCCGAGCAGGCACTCTCCCGACCTGCAGCTCTTCATGTCCATTCGCACACAGAGCCATATCTTGACCCCACCCCTCCCTCTTGATTGGCTGAGGTAGCAGGAGCCATTGGCTCCCTCTGCTGTCAAGCACAGCCAGTGAGCCAATCAGGGGTGAGTCCCCAGAGAACCAAGGCTCTTGTGGTCATCTATGGATCGGGATGGGGCTCAGGTATGGGTTAGGGGGGCTGCTACACACAAGGGTTTTTTTTACCTTCTGCATACAATGCAGGAAGGTAAAAAAAAAAAAAACTGCCACCAGATAGCTTTGGGCCCATCAAATCTTTAGCAAGAACAAATATGAAAACTAAAACATCTGTACACACACACACACACACACACACACACACATATTCAGATTTACCATATACAGTAGCACTATTCAAGAGACAGGGATTCTCTAGTTTGCATTAAAAGCCTTAGAGACCATTTCAACACTTTTCAAAATAGGGTTTAATAATGAAAAGGTCAAAATGGTGCAAACAAAATCCATATACTCCTTGCTGCGAAGGCCAGTGGCCATTTTTTTTTACTGCTGAATTGTTGGTGAGGGGGTGCACTGGACACCTTAGCTGCCATTGCGCTACATGCTGGGTGTCCAGTGCACTCCTATACTTTTGAGGGGTGGGCTCCCTCAGGTCCATCTGCCCTTGGCCTATCCATTAAATACATGTGCTTCTACTATGGGAGCTCTCAAAATGTGTAGTTAGGAACTACAGAATATCATTGTGCAGTGACGAGGTTATGTAGCTTACGCATGTATTTGCAAATGTGTGTCAACTAAACCCGTTTTTAAAACGCATACTGTTAGACAGGTTAATTTGGTTCATTTGCAAGCTGGCTGGCAAGTTAGAGCTGGGAATTTTTCACTTTTGTTGTTTGACATGCGTCTCCCTTCCATGTGCTCCTTTCTGAGAAGGCCAGTTATAGACTGGGGCAGTGGCCATTATTTGTACAGTTGACAGAGACCAGCTGACCAATCATCTGGATCAGGGGTGGTTGCTGGGAGGTTACCAGTTTATGACTCAGTCCCAGACAGTTTTCTATACGTTTTAATAACACTGAAAACAATAGATAGAGAGATGACAGGAGGTCTCAAATATTAACTTCTCATAGGAGGGGTGCAGAGACCTAATCCACTCTGGTACCACCCAGGATAGGTGTGTTTTGGGTTCAAAATGCTGGTCAATAACAGATGAAGGTGAATGACTTTATTCTGGCTCTACGGTCATGATTTTAGAAGTTATGACACATACTAGGATAGGTTCTACCAAAAGACAGATATGCGTATTCTATAGATTCCAACTAAGAAATTTATGGCCCAATGTCTTAACTTTCTATTCACTGAAGCGACCAAGTCAAGACACTTGATGGCCCTGCAATGTATATTGGTGTCCTGCCAAACCTATTACCAGACTGATAATGGGTGTCTGGGAGCAGCTAGGATGTTGTGGATTGTATGTGCTGAAAGGCGGAGGGAGGGTGAGAGAGAAGATCACGGTAGCCAGTTCTCTCTTCTGACAAAATCGTATGGAAGACTTGTGATATGAACAAAATGGCTACTACACACAGCTATTCGGGTGCCTGGTATGCACGACCATTACAAGAGTGACTTGAGCAACTCAATATGTAAAGTCTGGAGGAAAGAAAGGAAAGCGGATGCCTCTATCTAAAGTTGCTGTTTACAGTGAAACACATTAGGTCAGGACCGAACACGACGCGTCATCACGCACACTGGCGTGAATCCAGTGGTGCTCATCCTTTGTTGAATGCCCGTGATTGTCATCACCATACTAAACGTCCTTGGTTTTAACATGCTGCACTATGGTGGTCCTTTCTTGCGTTTAACTCCTCTGTGCTAAGCACACTTATACAGGATCAAGCCTAGATGGAGTGGCGTGTCTGCATATTTTGTGCTGTGGGACAGCAAGGCGCTTTATGATCTCTATGTGGGATCAGTGTCTGTGGTAAGTTTCCTTACATGTGGGTGGTGTGATTTCCTGGCACCCTCTATTCATGCTGCCCTGAATGCTCTCCGTCTCATACATTTAAGTGCATCGTCCTTTTCTTTGGGATTTTCCATCTTGATTTTGGATGTTTATCAGGCTATTTAACCATCTGTACAGACATTTTGCACATTTGTTTGCTTTACTCATCTTTATTATTTTGTTTGCAATATTGAACAACATTTTTATTTATGATTGTCCATATGTATATTAGTCCATCTGCATGTGTATATACACCTCTACGTTTATTTCTATTTTGAGAGTGGAGTACTGGGTTATAGTATATACACTTTAAAGTGCTTTTAAGCTTATTGTCCATATACACATATGCCCACCTGTACATATATAAACAAACATTCTTGTTTTATCGTTATCTTGAAAGTAAAGTATGGTATTACACATGCTTTAATGTCTGAACACTTTTAAAAGTATACTGCACAATTTTGTGTTTATATTTGGTTTTCAATTATTTTATTGCATTTACACCATTTCCTTAAAATATGGTTTGATATAGTTATATTGCATACACAATTACACTTTGGAATTTTTAAGAGATGACGTGCCCACTTTTCTTGAATTAGTGGTTTTACATCTAGTATCTAGATTGTGTAGTGGATGCAGCAGTCTTGAAATTGTTTTTGGCAGCGCAAGGAAATTTGGTTGTTTTTAGCAAAAGTTATACATGCTGTTATTTCTATTTTAATTCTGAAGAATTATGAGGGTCAGTTTAAACAATCAACCTGTTTCCCATAACGTCTGCAGCTACAGAGGCTTGGAAAACTGCATTGCGATAGTGAGGCTTCAGCTATTAAGGCACTGCTGGTGGGGTGGGAGGCGTGGCAGGGAAACTGAGTACGGGAGATATAGGCACACCTTGCATGGCACCTTGTACTTCTGAATATCGAGCTTTAGGACGCAACTGACCATGCAAGCAGAGATCTGATTCAGTGAATTCCATAGTCAGCAAACAAACGCGACTGGCAGTATCAACAAGGCATTTCTTCTGTATGAAAATAATAAAAATACAATAAGGATAAACCTAGGCAAAAGCACACCTAAACATTTTGGGGTAATGCACGTTAAACCACCTAATGGTGCACCGAAATGAAAATGATAGTGCCGAAACCAAAAACTTCAAAATGCACTTGGCCGAAAACTGAAATATGCAGTTTTTAAAAATTAATATAGATTTTTTAGAAAAAAAATACAGATTAAAAAAAAAAAAAAAAAACCCCGCAAATATATACCCCCTTTTTTTGTAAAAAGAGAGAGGATGTTACAGCAAGTAAATAGATACACATGTCAAGCGTTAAAATTGCGCACGCTCGTGGAACGGCATGAAACTATCACCGCTGAGCACCTTCCAGGTCCTCCCTAACCCACCCTCTCTATCCTTCCCCTCCTTTGAGGCGCACTGCATCCGACTCTTCTCACCCATCCCCTAAGGATCGCAGTGATCTACAGACCTCCTGGGTCCATACCCCACTTCCTGGACAACTTCGCCGCTTGGCTCCCCTTCTTCCTCTCCTCTGAGCTACCGACCATCATCCTCGGGGACTTCAATATCCCCATCAACGACAACAACCCGGCTACTTCCCAATTCCTCCACCTAACCTCCTCCTTCGCGCTCACACAGTACACTCAATCCTCCACCCACA